GACCTCTCGTCATCGGGGTGATCGCGACGGAGGCGCTCGTTACGCTTGATAGCCGGGAAGAACGAGAACCACGCGATAAAGTAGCCGATACCGATAGCGATGAAGGTCAGTCCAATAGCGTAGGCGGAGAAGTTCCATTGCTCGTATACGAGTGCGTATGACTGCAGGAACATGAAGATGATAGCATCGGAGAAACCGGATAGCAGGGAGAGAACGAGCACGATGGGTTCCGTGACGAACATGCGGAAGGGACGGACCCAGGTAACGAGAATCTCGTGGACACTGAAACGTTCCTTGAACGTCTTGAGCTCGTTGGGTCCCCAGATGTTGTTGGGCTTGCCGTTCTTCTCGCCTTCTGTACGGCGTTTCTTAGCGATACGGTCCATGAGGACGGTGGTACGGGTTTCGGGAACGAAGATGGCGTGGGCGATTTGGACGGCTCCACCGAAGATCAACTGAATCCAGATGTTCCACCTCCACGCGAGGAATTGTTCGACGAAGCCACCCGCGATGGGTCCGAGGACCGAGCCGCCGACGGAGGAGAAGACAATGAACGCAACGGCGTATTGTTGGTTGTCACTAACACTGTTAGTATGAAACTCGAATGAAGGCGCGAAGTACTTACGGTTCCCACATGTCCGCGACCATGGCGAGAGTGACTGAACCACCTGCAGTAGAGAGACCGCCGAGTGCACGGAATCCAAGGATGGTACCGAAGTTGGGCGCAATGCCCACGGGAATTTGCCAGATGTTGACAAAGAAGAGACTGAGCTGGAGGATGGGCCATCGTCCTAGCTCTTCACTCCAGGGAGCCCAAAGCTCACAGCCGAACGCGTACGTGATGAGGAAGATGGCTGCACCCAAACGCGCTGCCTGCTTGCTGACGCCGAACTCCTCAGAGATACCCCCGACGGCGTTGCTGTACAGCGAGGTGTTGAAGTTCATGCTGACCTGCACCATGAAGACGATGCTGAGAATGGTCCATTTCTTCCATGTTGGAAAACAAAACCCGAGTTCGTCGTAGCAGTCTTCCTCGGTGATTTCGTAGCGATCGTAGGTGCCGTACTTTTCGTAGTGTTCTTTGTCGGCGGCGGTGATCGCGTGATCGGCCGGGTTCTCAGTGTGGTGAAGGTCACCGTCGGAAGCGCTCTTCTTCTCAGCGTCACCAGCTTCGTTCTTGTTGACGGTGTCCATGTCGTGGATTTCGGGCTTACGCTCTGCTGCAGACGCCATGTTGTCGACAGCAATGCGCTTGGGCGGGTTATTGGTTAAAAGTAGTCAACCCGGAAACCAGTTGCGGGGACTGGGTGGGAGAATCTGGGGTAAGATGATAAAACCCAGACGTCACGCAGGCGGAAGAAGCAACTTATAAGACGCGCAGTGAATCCAGAGGCGCGGGTGCACGCTCCAAAGAGCCCAATGCACACTGTGCGCATCACAAGGCACGCGCTCGAATCCTCGAAACGTCATATTACAGCTTCCACGGCTGACAGGGCTTGAGCGCTATGGCGCGTTGGTGCTAGAGGCCGTTGGACACTGTCCCGGGGACCTCTCAGACCAGGCGATGTAGCATTAAATATGGGTCGAAACTTAAGTGCGCGTCGACCGAAGCGAAGGTAGTATTGGCTTTGGACAGACGCGCGGGACGCCTTGCCATCTCCTCACTGTCGGGTGTACACCGAGTAATTGGTAGAAGGTGTGCTACGTCATCCTTGACTGCATTGCACGTCTTATCTTCGCACGATTCCCACACCACAGATGGTTTCGCAACACCTGATCTTGGCTTTTAAGCCTCCAACACAAGGCCCCCGCCCGCCCTCTAAGCATCGAAAGAAGGCAGACCAAGCTGCGCCGATCGTCCGCGCCAAGCTGCGCCACGCGCCTTAGCCTTGTTTATCGAACTTAAGGATGCGACCCGTGACGTCAGCTCGGTTACCGTCTCGAACGACTGGCGCCTCGCCCCCATGGCACACCGGCTGCCGGTGCACGATTCACTCCTCCGCGGAATCTCCACTATCGATTTCTCGATCCACCTCCGACCTGCCCCCGACATTTGCACGTGGGGCCTGCAAGTTGCTGACTTCTAGACGGTCTGCCACGCGCAAAAACGTTATAGTGGCGGTCGGCTTCCCTTTTCCAGATGCTCCGACAGCTCCGAACGGCCCACGCGTGCTTCGAGACGCGTTGTGGGTGGGATGAGGCTCAAAATTTGCATATCGACACGCCTAGTAGCGTACATGATGAGCGAGAAAATTTTACGGCCCGATGGTTCGAGATGGCAAAGTCGGTGTCCGACTGAGCTTCTCAGTGCACGCGCTGGACCCATCGGAGGTGGAGCAGGGTGATATCCGTAGCCTGTTGAGTAAACACATTGCCGGATCGTTCAGCTCTTTACGATTTGCTGATGTACCTGATTTCGAACTCATGGTTGAGTTACTACCGAAGACACTGTACGGAAGCGAACAAACCGAGCCGGCTCTACCGCGACTTAGGCATTTGATAGCATTACTGATCCTGATCAAGCATACGTCGCGCCCGTAAAACTCCAAATGATCTAGTGTCCACAGATCACTGCATCTTCCGACTACCGGCATGCGACCCTTTCAAACTACCGAGTCGCGACCAAACTAGTTCCCTGAAATGTCATTATACACTCTCAGCCAGGTCGCAAATCCTGTTCACTGTAGGTCCTTCCATCACGTGTCCAATGCAAGCCTTGGGCTTCAGTGTTTCTCAATCATGGGAACTCAGAAGGTCCTTCCAGGCCGTATCCATCACCTTTGTGAAGTTTCTCCAGATTCGGCTTTCTGCCGCCGGCTCGTCTGTCGCCCAATCCGGATCGTTCTCCAGTTGTTGGAGAAATTCTTGTTCCATTCTTTTTCTCTTTCCCCCACCTTCTTCGTTCCAATCTTCCAACATGTTTTCGCAGACCTCGCTCAGTTCCTGTATCTTCATCCACAACATATTATACCTGTTCTCGAACACGCCTCGCAGTTCTGTAGGCAGTATATCGAAGTTCCCATTCAATGCTCGAGCGCAACCATGTGACGTAGTCGCTGCATGTATTGTCCATTCACCAGCCTTTGTAAATCTCACTGAGCATTCGGGCTTAGGGCATTCGAAAGCATTGCTTTTCCCCTTGTCGAAGTGGTGGCGGTCCAAGGCTTCTATGAAGAGAGGCAAAAGCGCGCGTTTCTGGAGGACGTTCCTATCCGAAACAAAGCTGTGTTTCTCAAACTGCCCGACTAGACCGCGAAATGGCCGTCCAGGCACTAGTACTGTGTTATTACGCGTTGTCGCCTCAAGATCTTCCCAGCCTCCATCTCCAAGAGGCCGAAAGTATGAACTTCTCCACTGCGGCTTCTCCCTATAGCTGTACAAGTCGGTTTTCCAATTTTCACCTTTCCCTCGCGTCTGCATGATGACTGCCTCAGCGGTGATGCTTTTTGGAGAAGCTCGTAACAACACTTCTAGGCATAGTGGCACATTCTCGACTTCCTCTATGACGTCGCAGAGCATCAAATTCTGATTGAACACTACCCTCTTAGCTGCCGGGCATCTCTTCCTCAATGTAGACCAGAATCCAGCCACAATATCTTGTTGTACGTCTTCTGGGCGGAGTGGTTCTTTTGCTTCTCGTTCCGGCCAAAGCCAGTTATGCAGGCAGCCGTACTCTAACTCTACGTTCTGGACATAGGCAAGGAACGTAAGGTCGACGCAAGTATGACCGGGATAACCGCCTTTAATAATCCAACTACTATCCAGGAGGAAAGAGGCGTTAGGATGTCCCCAGAACAGCTTTGATGACTCGATGCGTAGCATGGATGAAGTTCGCATGAGCTGCCAAAGGGTTGGTATCGAACAACATGAGAGGATACGAAGCTGAAGTTCGGTGGGGAGCCTTTGGAATGAAGAGAACCCGGAAGGCGATGGTTGCGATATATTGTTGCCGTCACGGTGCCTTACGTACGCAGGGAAGAAGACGCGTTTTTCGCCACCCCAGTTCATTCCTAGATCCCAATTGAGTGGCTGCGTCCATGGAGGTCGAGGGAGTAGGTTAAGCAGATTGCCAACACTTGATTGATGCATTGTGGCAGGTCTAGGGCGAAGGCTACGAGACTCGGGGTTCTCTGGTGGCAGTCGCTGCCTACCTGTGGGCAATGGCGGGGGCCAATGAGAGTTCAGAGGCCTTACAGTGGCGCCGATCACCCGCGGGGTTGTCGTATGAGCACCCGATGCCATCCTCTGAACTTCAACACTGACCAGACGCACTCTCTATACTCGGACTACCCAAGAATCGCCACAACTGATGGTTGATGCGCTAGGTTTTGTTTCTCCAAACGTCTTCATGGAGCACACATTTGGGTAGGTCACCAGGTGTCGCGTCTTCGTACGACTTCGGATTTGAGGTGAAGGCAGGGCTGCATACAGACGGGCCGTCCAGGTGATGATAAATCAATATGGACTCAGTTTACGAGAGAGATACGCTTGTAGGATGCAGTTTAGCTTCCTTCAGCTTCGCCATAGTAGGCCAAAGGGAAGAAAAGCTGGGTGTCACGAACATTTGATGAGTACCTGGAAGGGCTAGCGGAGGCTTGTCTCAGCATTTCCTAACCTCAAATGATTACATCGATTTAGTGCCCCACATCACGAGTCTCTACGACAACCACTGATAAGTGAAAGCGAAAGGCCAACATGTGTTATTAACCAGCTTTCTCGCGGCGTCGTTTGCGCGAAAGCACGTGCAATCGACTGACATCTCATACGGGACACAGAAGTCGGACATAGGCCTCGGCTTCACTCAAGATCGGAATGTTGGCAAACGGGCACTCACTTGCTGGCTGTGGAATTGACCTGCCTTTACTTACTCTTCCCAACACATAAGCCTGCCCTCCCGTTGCGATCCTTGCCTCCTACTTCTTCCTCCACCAACAAGTCAAATCAACTCCTTCCCAATTCGACTTATCACTTCGTCCTCCTACAGCAATCTCTCACCCGCCATGCGTCTCCTCATCCTCTTCTTCCTGACGCTGCTTTCGGTTGCAGCAGGTTTCACTTTGCAAAAGACTGATGGCACCACGATCGAGCTCGGCGATGAGCCTATGGTCATCGACGGCAGCGACGTGATCATGCCTCAGGATATCTTCGCTAGCGCGTCCCGCGTCAAGCTTGACGGCATCTCCGAGGCTACCGACGTCAGCACTGCAGACCTTGACCCTTTTCCGGCTGCTGTACGTGCACACCACTACCTCTTACTCATCTTCTCTAACTGCCATCTAGGTAAATCTCTATGAAGGACCCAACAGGCATGGCAGGCGAGCTAAAGCCTACCTATGCGCTACAGGAATGAATGGTTGCCTCGCAGACGGCGCGTGAGTGCACCGAGTCAGTCCACCTCACCGTGACTAACATATTCAAGCTCTGAGCCATGGGCTTCTTCGCTCACTCTACAAGCATGCCCCCACGGCTCACCAAATGGGGGCAAGACATTCGCATGTTTCTTCTTCTCGTAGGTCTTATCGAGTAAGCTCATCTGCGGTACGAGAGTAACGTTAGCTAGCACACCGACCTGCGATTATACTTCTAGGTTCCTTTTGACTCGCACGTCTATCGACGATCTCAGGAAGACGACGCCGAAATTTGATGTGAGTACCAATGGGTCTGGACGTCGTGAAAGAAGCGTCCCTTTACTGACCATGATGAACAGGAGACGATTAGGTCTATGCAGTGCTTCTGGGATAGGGATGCTCACGTCGCTGGAGTCGATGCTCGTTCTGAGCGCCACTCCGACATCGAAACCTTCTCCAACGTCGGCACCGCAGACATCGGTACCGCAGACACCAGCGCCGAAGATCCGCACTTGGTATGGCGCATCGTCGTCCTATTGATCAATTCGCTGATAGCTATTTAGCTTGCCCTGTTTGAACAAACCAAATACCAAGGTAGTAGAAGTGTCGCCTACTCCTGCTCCAAGGGCGATTTGGGCTGCAGGAACATCAGGGAGTGAGCGCACCAACCTACGCCCATTCTGTACAATTGCTGACACATGATAGGGACAACCCTTGGGCTTCCTCGGTATCCTTAACACAGTGTCCTGACGGTTACGAAAATGCGCACAAGCAGTTCCGATGCGACTTGTTCCAGTATGTCTCATCAAGCAGGCCCACAAGTGATATAAGGCTGACCCAAGCTAGGACGCGGAACTGCGAGGTTATCAACCAAGATAACCCGTCTCACAACACCGGCCGATCTATTGAAGATCTTTATCCGTACGGATTGGATGTGAGTGCTCTAGATATATGACCTCTTTTGTCAAAGACATCTGAGCTAACGACAATGAACAGAACAGGATCAAGTCTGTCAACTGCTACTTCGGCGCGCTGCCAAATTCCCCACCCTGAAGCTGGGGGGACTACTGTACGACTAGTATATGGCGCATCGGAATCGATCTTTTCCAGCCTTAGCTGCTCCAGACGTTCATTCATGTAGCTGTCAAAATGACACAGGCCTTATACAATGCAAAGTGCACAAGCACTCGCCACTAGGAAAGATGAAATGAGATTCCTAATTATACATAATTTGTCTTCAAGCTCAGACTCTAGACATCGTATTACTCGCAATCAAGGGCCTACACACTGGTAGGTACTGAATCGCGCCGACAAAAGACAGGGATCTTGTTGTACCTCGCCTTCACCTTCACCCAGCTTCACGTAGACCCCAATAACCCACATCTGCGTTGGTCGTACTGTGACGCACATCAATGTATACCCCAGCGCTCACTATTACACCCACCCACTGCTCTTGTGAAGTAATAATTGCATGCAGCAAAAGACCCGCTGATAATTACTTGACCGCGCCATGTCTGTACATCTTCTCTCATACCTGCGGCTCCAACACCCATACCAGACCATGCTCATCCTCAATACCGACATCGAGTTTTTTGAAAGCTGTCGATCCGTGCAGCGCCAGAAAGTCACATGAAAAGTCTTGAATCAACTCCTTCAGGCCCTCCAGTTCCGCACGACGACCCTTGAACACGTGGAATCGAACCTTGGTCAAATGACCACAGTCGGCCAAGCCATGTAGACGCAGACGCTCGAAGATCTCAGCACCGGTGCTAGGTTTCTTCTCTGTCGGTCCGCGTTCCGACCATTTATAAAGATGTGGTGAGACCATGTGGAACACAACTGTCTTTAGCGCGGTGCACATCTTGATCGAAGGTATAGCTTTGCTGAAGTCGTAACAGAAGTCTCCGTAATAGGCAAATTGAACATGTTTCAACCATCGTAGTCCCTCATTGGCTTCTCCGAACTGTGATAGGAAAGCTTCAAGAACTGGTGAGTCGTCACTGTTGTCCATGAAGATTGTTTGGTATCGCAGGTAGAGTCGGGAAGCGATGATGCGCTCGAGCTTGTTGGTGAAACAAATCGCTGGGAAAGAGTCCTGAAGTGCGTTCTTGCTGGGACTGTCGGTGGGAATGTCGGTAGGAACGTAGAGTTTGTTCCTGAGATGGCCGCCAGCGAACATGGCGTGCTTGTATATAAGCTCCTTCACCTCGAGAGGAAGAGCGACGAAATTGAACGGTTTGTTACCGGGAGTAGCTTGGCAGACAGCGGCGGAGCTGGTGAGCGACATGTTGGCGACAAGTCCTGTGGTACCGGATTGTGCAAAGATGTGTTGGGGTAGGCGCTGTCCAGCTAGACGCTTTTCGTGAGTAGCTAGACGATGCAGAGAGGCGAGGGCTGCTGAAAAGCTGTATAATAGCGAGAGAAGGTCGCAAAGAAATGACGATCACGCGCTGCTTTGTGCACAGACTCTCGGGCGCTGGTCGTGTCGCGGAGGTGAAAGATCGCAACCAGGGACTTGGCTACAAGCACTGCAGTCTGTCGTACAGTAACTGAGAGCTGCAATGACAGCGGTGTTCAAAGACGCGAAGATTCAGACCAAATTGACACTCACTGAGTCGGAGCTGTTGCTGGCGTAGGCTTGGAAGATGCTGCCCAGAGGGAGAGCAGCCCCAGATCACGTGAAGACGCGCTTACTCCCTTAGTCTCTTAGCGTCCGCCATGGTTCCACATCCATGTCCAGATTTGCATCAATATGATCGCTGCTCATACAATCTGCCAAGTTTCCTGTTGATTCATCCGGAAACGTCGATGCCGTTCCTCAAGCCCTCCTATCCTACACAGGCATTCCACGCAGAAGCGTAAACTGTCGCACCCAGATATACACGGCTACGCCAGCTTTTTTGAATGTGTTCCAGGCTTCATGGTTGATGTCAACATCAGCCTCAGACAAGAGGAAAAGATCGAGACGCGAGAAGATGCCGTGGTCGAGCCGGTGTTGAAGGATGTGTTCGACCGAGGTTGGATGGACACCGCTGGTGCAAATTAGACCGAGCTTCTCAAGAAGTGGAGGTAGTTTGCCTTCCAGAGTGTCCGTAGGTGGTCGAAAAGGCAAAGTGAGCTGTCGTAGGTGAACGAATGTGCTGAAGTCTGATATTAAGCCCTCCTTATGACTTGGGTATCGACAGTGTAAGAGTTCGCTATGATCAATGGGTTCGACAGATAGCGTCTCTAGAACAGCCTTGGAAACAAGTAGACGTTCTAATAGCTGAGCAAGAGATTTAATACCGTAATTGAAAGTGCAGAAACCGCGGACGGTCTGTGTCCGAAAGCGTAAATTGACGTTTCGTACTCTTGACATGTCATCATCCTTGCGATATAATCGAGCGAAAGACCATGTCGGAGATTCTCCTTGCCACAGGAAGATGCATGCATCTAAATGCTGTATATGCACTAGGCTCGGATGGTCATAATGGGGGAGATCTGTGAGCTCACCGAGTCGTAAGGTCTTCAAATTGGGTAGCAGTTGAGTGCTATTGAGCATGAGTCCACTCTTAACATATAGCTCACTCAGCGTTGGAAAACGCACCGGGTCTACGTCATCGTGACACGGCGTGATACCCAAGAGCCTTCGTGTGAACGTGACATCTGTCAGATCTAGAGACAGATACGTTCCTCCATGCTGCTTGGTGTAGCATTCAAGCTCCAGCCGCTCTAGATTAGGCAGGAGCCTGAGCAATCCGCCGTAGAGGGCTGCAGAGCGCCACCTCACAACATCCGAGAACCAATGCTGTTCGGACACGTGGGTTCCCATAATTCGTTTGAGGCGGAAGACGAGCTGCTCTTGAATATCCCTGTATTCCAGACAATGGGGGCTGTCAAGAACCTTATCGACCACAATATCAGGGCGACCTGAAGTCATATCCCAATCGATGCGTTCGGCTTCAGCCTCGTCCGCTGTCGAAATGATGTCGGAGGGCACGGTGCAGTTCACGACAGCGAGCGATATTGAGCGTATGCTGTTGAGGCGCTGAGGTTGAGCGAAGAGCGTGCGTAGCAACAATATGAGGCGATGGCCCTCATCTGGCTGTTGGATCATCGGTGCGGAGTATAGATGCTCGTGTGCGACCTTGGCTTGGGCTTTGCCGACGCGTGCATAGGACGCAAGATCTTTGGAGGAGATATATGCCGCGATCTGGAGCTCGATCTCGGTCGGAAGGTCGGCAAGGCGAGCCATGCTGGCGATGTAGGTGTAAGTGCGGTTGCGCGGGGATAGGATCGTTAAGATGTCGACGTCGAGATCACAGCGCTAATAATAGCCACGCGTGAACAGGTATCATGAGACTAGGCTGATTAGCACGTTAGATCTACTTCTGGTATTTCTGGGCCGCCACATTACAGCCACGCGTTGTCCGATCAGTTTGTTAAACGTATATGCCACGACAGTGATCTCTCGGCCGCCAACCCTCATAACCTTCGTATGCAGGAACGGCGTGCCTGCTCAACCCATAAAACATTTGAGGACAGGCGAATAAGCTTACGGATGACATGTATGCATTCCGCATCGAAAGCTGGAGCCCTTGACCACTGGCAATGCGATAGCCGTCGTCCCAACCCTTACGAGCCTGTAGTAGACAAACTTGGTTCGGCTTTGCCCAGGTGGCTTGCATGGACTAACTCATGCTCGAGGATCCGAGGTTAGTGTACGCGAAAAAAAAGGATGCGATCGCAGTGTGCATCGTACGAAGGCAAGAGGCGTGACGAGAAATGACGTTGAAGTGGAGCGAAGACGCGTGCCGCACACGCGCTGGACCCCTGGCGCTTATCTTATCGCGTGTCTGCACGTGTCTATGGCAAATCCAACTCGCGCAGGTCGCACCTGCTGTTTTTCATCTCTCACACCTCAAAAGTGCTCATCAGCATACGATTCCAAGCTCTCGACATGACATCTCCGGGCAGCATCTCGACCGAGCCACCCCTCCTTCCTGTTTGATCGTTCGCACCAGCGGCGAAGCGGGGCTGCGGAGCTCCCACCTGCCCCTTGCGGGGTACACTTCATAATGATGTATAGGCTAACGACGACTTTTGAGCCTCTGAGAAAGTTCTAGGCGTCCTAACAGAAATTTGTACCGTAAAATCATTCCAGAAGTTCGCTTCTCTTCACATACCGATCTCGCATTCAATTCATCGCAAACATGTCCGCCGCTCAAGCGCTCCGCCAAAAGCAAGCCCCGATCAAAGATGGGTACCGCAGCGACCCTTCATCCGCCGTCGTCACCCTCAAATCTACTGGTTCGCTCGACGACCATTCGATAACATGCAAGCTTTCCGATAGCTCAGCTGTGAAGGAAGCGCATAGGGTAGCCGGCCTGCACCAAAAGGCTGGCGGCGACGACCCAGCGATATCTGGGGAATTATGCTCTGGTGGTACGCAATATCTTTATCGGATTTGTATGTGATACATGTGCTGACATTATGCGCCGTCAATTAGACATGCTCCTCGATGCCCTCGTAGCCTGCTCAGGCGTCACCCTAAAAGCCGTCGCTACCGCCCTCGGCATACCCATCGCCTCCGGCACCGTCACCGCAGAAGGGGATTTGGATTTCAAAGGCACACTGGGCGTAGACAGGACGGCTCCTGTTGGTATAACAGGCATACGGTTGGAGTTTGCGGTCAAGTTTGGGGAGAGGGAAGATGGCAAGGAGGTTACCGAGGAAGAAATCGAGAAGTTGGGCAAGTTGACAGAGAGGTATTGTGTTGTGCTGCAGACGCTGGTACATAAACCTACCATTGCTGTCAGGCTAGCCGGAAGTGGTGGCGGGAAAGAGGGTGACGGTGTTAGTAGGGAGGTGTCGCATAAGAGCGAATTGTAGCTACGGAACGTAAGTTGATTTGGGTGACGCTATCTAGCTGAATATAACAGAGTACATTCAGTACCTCCACATTGCAACTAGGTACTTCCACACATCGCTATATCTCATCAACAAGCCAATGCTTCTCCCCTTTCCATCCCTACCTATCTCATATTGATAGGATGAATCTCGCCATCATAGTCATCATACATCTGATAAGGCGAGGGGACGAACCTCTCACTAAGCTTCAAACGATGCCACTCGTTGTTGTAGTACTCCTCAAAGTCCTCCGGAGACACCAGGTTCAAACGGCTCTGCAACATCATACTCGGCAGACGGTGGCCGTCCTCTCCGTACTTCGGGTCTTGGAGCCTCTCGCCAGTGTAGATTATGAGGCAGAAGAGGTGCGTAGGCAAAAGCGGCTTCCCGTCCTTGCGAGCAATGATCAGAGTGCCAGTCTTAGTTTTCTGGTTTGGCGGGTTGAGCATCGCCGCGTTGTGGTTCTCCCGACGGGATTCGACGTCGCGGTCGCGCCAGGAGAGCGCAGGGGGCTCTTTCCGGATGATCAATGGAATGCCGACTTTATCGGCGACTGGGCAGGGGACCTGAGAATCTTTGCTCAGGATGGAGCGCGGCTCGATCTGGCTCTCATATGTAGGATGGCCGAAGAATAGCTTGTCGCCCACGCAAGTGAGGCGTACGGCAAGGACACCACCCGTCTTCCTCGATATGACCTCCTTCGCTCGCAAGCTATCTTTGTAGTGGTTCTTTCTCAGGGCGTCCACAGCGTGACGGAAGTCTGCCGGTGTGCAGTTGAGATCGGAGGTTTTGCGTCTGTCTTCGGGACAATGGCAGCCCCAGGCAAGGACGTGACCTTTGCCGTGGAGTCGCGCAAGCTCAGGATCGATGTCCATCAAGCTCTTGTCTGTATTGAGTTAGTACATTTCTCGTGCGACTTGTACAAAGACATTGACGAACTGATTGGTATATCCTCCGGCAGAGGCTCTTCGAAAGATCCCAGGTTTCTCGTAAAGAGCAATCCGAGATGCTTTCCAGCGATGTGCCTCTTAGTCGTGTAATCGGTGCTGTCTTCCTCGAAGTATCCTATGGGGTTGTTGCGATTGTTGCAATTTACGCCATAAAACTCGAAGCCCAGCTCTTGCACGTAGGCTTTCTTGGGTGAAGGAATCTTGGCGTTGTAGGTGCCAGGCTCGAACAGAGTCCACTCGAAGCGAGGCGCCTCTTCATCTTTCGGGAAGACAATGATGCTGTAGTGCTTTTGACTGGGACGATTGTTCATGTGCTCGCTGAAGGATTTGCAGATGAGCTTGTGGACTTTCCAATCGGCCTTTTGGCACCGCTTGGAGCAGTACTGGATTCCGTTGCAGGCGACACATCTGAGCTTGCCTTCGTCAGGGCACAGCGCACAGTGGGCAACCATGATTCGATGAGTTCTTGTAAAGTTTTGGAGATCAATTGAGGGGAATTGAGGTGTAGGATGTGAAGAATTGAGGCGTGGTGCTGCTACAACAAGGGGAGCATAACGAGAAAACGACCTGGCATTTCCTCGGCAACGCGGAAGTGGGGCTGACGCGTCAGGCTCCTGAAACGTGGCCCGTTTAAGCTAGTAACCACGCGCATGCACGTGAGAACGCGACATCTCATAATTCGGGCAAACCATCTAATCACCCTGTCGCGCTCTCAAGTTCGGCGAATTTGTATCGAGCTTTGAGACAACACAAAATCGTATTCTCTACCTGGACTAAAGAGCTAACCATCAACGAATCTCAAACACCATCGAAGGAATGACCCCTTCAGCACCCTCATTCTGGTGCTGCATCGCCTCACCATCCATCATCCCATGGATGTAACACTCACCAAGCAGCGTGTAAGAAAAGTAGCCTTCGTCGCCGAGTCTCTCTCGCAGATTATCCATGACCTTCTTCTTGTATTCAATCGTCTCGCCCTCCGTCAACTTCGTTCTGTTTATGGGACGGCGCCAGCTGGGCCGTATGGCCGCTGGCATATCATACGGCGCATGTACAGTCAAGGGGCTCGAGCCCGACGATCTTGAACGTGTCTGAGACGTCTCTCCGTTCCCGTAATGTTCCGCTTCTGTCTTGTGGTCACCGTCATATGCATTGGTTTCTCTCTCCGTCTTTCCGTATTCCTCAGTACTGTCATGCTCCTCGTTGTCTTCATGGTACTGAGAGTATTCATCATTCTGGCCGTTTCGATGCTCCTCGTTGCCTCTTGTCGGTGAGTCGTTTCTTTCGAGTCCCTTGTTCGCTACTTGGTGGCCGCCAGTCACACCTCCGTTGTGAGTTCCGCGTCTGCGCATCAGGTAGGATCTAAGCTCGTCGGCCTCTCTCTCAACCTTCTTTTTGTTCTCCTTCAGGATGAGCATTCTGACAGCCTCGTACTCGCCATGCTGCTTCTGTCTCCATAGCTGTTCACTGTACTGTACCGCAAAGTCGATTCGATTGGCCTTCCCTCTTCTAGTCATTTGCAACCAGCGTCTACCGGCAACAAGTGCCAGCTCGAACTCCCACCAGTCCACCAAAGGTTTCTTCTTCTTGATAGTTGTGGGCCCTTCCTTAGAAGCGGCAGAGGTAGCACCTTCAGCCGTTGTTGGTGCTTCAGTGATTCTCCCCAGCATGGTTGCAGCACCCAGTGATTGTCTTCGTTTTCGTGACGTCTGTCTACGTAGGTTTTCGTCCGTCTCCTTTTTACCTGGCCTGCTCACTTTCCTATTGGGGTGCTCCTTCCGCTCCTTCATCTCTTCCACAATGCGAATCCTGATCGCGGGCCATACCCTCTTGCGTTCTTCATACAACCAGCATTTGAAGTCGGCAGTGGCCTGCTTCAAGATGCGTAGAAGAATTCCTGTCGAGTTTTGCTTGTCTTTGGCTGACATTTTGGCAGAATCGATGCCGTGGCTACGCATGTAGTCGGTGGTTCTCAGCCATGCACGGCAGAGCTTTGCCATCTCTTTGTCTTTCCAAGCTTCATGTCGTCGTTTACGCAAGATGTATTGCCTTAGTTTCTGTACAACAGTATTCTTGACATCGACCAGTTCTTGCTCCATTTCTTCCTCAAATACTTCTTCGGTTTTCTTGGGACACTCCCGCAGCACGACCGGAACACTGCATCCGTAGAGTATGCAGACCAAATCGCCTTTTTGGACATCTTTCCCGACCAGCCCTAGTGTCCCGCTTTCGGTACGCACAAGGGCACGGTTCCATGTGACGGCCTGCACACGGCGACAGAACTGGGCGACGACAGAATTGCGTTCGTACTCAATGAGCGCGGTAGTGTCGATTGCGCCGCTCTCAAGACCACCTTTTCTGAACGATTCTTGGCAAGCCCGCGAGTAGTATACGGGTGGATTCTTGCCATCCTTGCCCCGGTTGGCGACGAGCGTCCGCCAAAACATATCAGGTGGGAGCCCTTTTCCGTCTTCCCATTCTGCAAGATCAAGCCACTCTGCGGGAATGTGCCCGTTGCGAGATACCTGGGTGACATCCTTTATAACATCAAGCTTGAAGCCGCGGACGTACATGCTGAATCGACCCTCGTCAAAGTGTCCAGGTTTCAGTCGCTTACGAAATCGGAGTGCCTTGATGTCGACGCCCTTGGTCTCAGCAGCAGAGTAGGAACTTGGAAGTCCAACCAAAGGATCGGCGTTAATGCGACTCATCTTGGGGCCGGTCAAACCCGGCCGTTGGGCCATCGCGTATGGTGCATTCGAGAGTTGTGGTACCCAGGAAGGCAATGCCATATCCCCCGATTCAGCGTTCGTAGATACGTTCTGAACAGGTGCTCCCTCAGGTGGGTCAGGAGGTTCGGCATGATTGGAAAGTGCTCTACGGCTCTCGCGTCCCTTGCGGCGTGCTTCAAGGTCCTTCTCTCTCTTCTTCCTTCTTTGTTCTTTCTCCTTCTCTTTCTCCTTGGTATCCCGCATCTTTTGTAGCTTCCTCTCCTCAATGGCCCATGGGCGGCAAATGACATCCAGCGCGCGACTTGCGTTGCCGTGAAGAGAACGGTCGATCGAGAACTGAATGAAGTCCTTGCATACATCTACGTACGGCAGTTTGTAGTCGACGTTGTAGCTCTTGCGCTGTGTGTAAACCTCAAGGCCTGCTTGAGCGCTTCTAGACGTGACAGCAGCATTTACGCTCACAGCTCGTGGTGTGGTGTCCTTCGCGATCGCAAGCAGTGCATAAATTGTGTCGTGAGGAACGGTGGTATCGAAAATGGTCAAGCTTGAGACCAGATATTCCAGACTCAGAAGAGGCTGTATACGATGTCTCGAGCTACCAGATACGTCCTCTACATGGCTTGAATGAAGGGGTGCAGATGTGTAGTCGTCTTCGCTGTCGCTTGGGTCAGAAAAGGCTTCGCTATCCGAATCGGTGATTGACTCAATCTGTGCCAGAGGGTCTGGCACGGGTTGCGCTACTTCGGATTTCTTGTAGTCGCGAAACAGGCGCTCTGTCGCATCAACAAGCAAGCTAGCGCCGAGGGCAGAGACGTAGTCGAAAACACTGGGAATATACTGGTACTGTCGATCTTTCTTCATGACCTCCGACAGGCGATGCGTCGCTGTTTCCACCTCCACGAAGAGTTCCACGGCAACAGCGAATTTCTTCCAAGAGATCCTATCTCTGCCGCAGTAGATGATGGGGTTCTTCGCCAAGGCCAATTCTTGAACAACCCACCGTCGTGAGAACCATGGTCTTTGCATCAGATCTAGTAACGCGACCCATTTCTTGCTCGCGTCTTGACTGTCGCAGAGGGTGTCGAAGCTTCGTAAATGTGAGACCTCTTTCTTGATGAAGCGTAGTGCCATGCGACTGGATTCTGTCGCGTCCCCAAGCCAAATGCAAACTCGCGAAGCGTTGCCGTAAATTATGTTCATCATCTCGACTTGATGATTCTTCTCACCCAGGCTACAGAAGTCAGCGATTATTGATTGAGTATCATTGACTGACCTACTCGTCTTGGTCGATGCAAACCATGTCAATCCACAGGAAGCGGCTACGGTCCGGGTAGCGAAGTGCCTTCATAGCAGCCACAAGGTTCGGGCTCACTTTCTTGATGTATGTCTTGCGATTGCGTTGAATCCTGATCTCAGCAGACTTGCCTGCTGTGCCCCAGCACCACGACAAGGCTTCATAGGGATATTGGTGTCTCTCGTTCTCGCCTGGTGTGATCAATGCACAAAGAACTCCAGCAGCCGAAGTTTCGCTAGAGAAAAGCTCAAGGATCCGAATGGTCCCCTGGCTGCGTGGCAAAGGTTGATAGCTGAAAGTGCTGTATTCACGACGATGTTTCCACGACGAGTTGCCCGTTCCATGGACATCATTGCTATCCTTGCCCCGCCTCTTGCCCGTCCTGGCCTTTTGTTGCTCTGACAAGTCGTTATCGGTGGAACTCATTGCAATCGAATTCAGAGTAAGTGCTTTATGTACGATGACAGGTGCTTAACTTAGAGCAAGCACTTCGGCTGGCTAGAGCAACCTGAAGGCCTTTATACCCGCGAGGCCGAATCAGACTCCTAGGTCAGACGCTCGACACGTTAGACATCACCCTTTTACAGAGTGACTGAAGCGAGCGCATGCCTCAGGAAGCGTCAAGCACCATTCCGGTAGAATTAAGCAATGCAAGGTAGCAACGCCACTGCCGTCCAAGGTCTGATTGGACAGGTGATGCTGTTTGGTGGAAGCATGCGGGTGCAGGGTGTTCGCGCACGGCGCCTAGGTACTCATTCTGTAGTACAAGGACGAGTAGCGGAGGTTCGCGAAAGCCCGCACAGCCTTGTGGCTGATCGTCCGGCCTGGCTGCAGGAGAACAATGTTACATTGCATAACAGAGTTTTCAGCCTTGGCGCATGTTTCCGGTATCTTACATGGAGAGTTGAAGCAGGAGGCACGGTTGAGGAAAGACCACGCGCCAGCAGAGCGCTTGTTGGCATGACGGGGGCCGACTTTGTCCTCGGCCTTGGGCCTGGCGAATGGTCATGACATGACACAGGGTGCTGATCAAATTAGCGAACGAAAAACAGGCGTCAATCAGCCACTTCATGAGCTTGAGAGCTGAGAAGCTGGGAAGGCTGAGAAAGCGGGATGGAAGGCCTGCTTCTGGCCGCACGAGCAGCATCTCCCGCGTGGTCAGCTATAGTTATGACCGCGCATCAAGAGGAGCGATGAGTAATCCATGGGTAGCAGTTCAGTCAGTGGTGCGCGGAAGCGATTGTACGTCGAGATTGGAGGTGCGAAAGTGTAAAGCTGAGGTCCTGCAGGTCAAGCCTTCATGAGGCGCACACTAGCGCGACTTCCCGCTTTCACCCAAGCGACGGCTCCACGCGCCCGCACCTCCACCCGTTCCGTCTCTTCGGAGGTCTGGATTTTCACTCCTTGAACAGCTGAGAAAGTGTGTAAGCAATGAATAGCGAATCATCAAAAGCACTCATCCGGATCCGGGGTTGGAGTAAGCGAAAAAGGTTATGGTGTATATTCTTTACGTATCATGGCAGGGCCAGGCATTCGGGTCGTTATCTTAGTCGCCGGCATATGGGGCGCTTCATTACTTCTTACCGTTATCGATTTGGACGCGCGGGACGGCTATGGTGGAAGGAGGTTGCGGCTCAGAACCTGGTTCTATGGCTTTGGCCTGCTTCTTGAAGTGTTTCTGCAGCTGAGCTATGGCCGCATTCTCGTCTTGCTTGACAGCCGTGTGGCTCTCCTTGTCGCGGTCCCTCCAGTTCGGGCCCAGAATCTCACCAAGACTGATGGAAGCTCTGCGATTGATGTTCCGTCTCGTACGTGGGTGCCACATGTGATCGTGCACCATGCCCTTGCCGAAGAGTTGAGGCTCCCGCAGTAGCGGGCTTCCCCATATCTTGTTGACCTCGTGAACGTATCGCGCATACGGGAGCGTGTTGGACCTCTCCACCACTCTATTTTCTCTCTTTTTGGAGCGACCATGGCCAAACATGTTTATGAACTGCGACTGCAAGGCTTTGAGTACGGTATGGTAGTGAACAAAGACGCCGAGATTTCGTAGATGCACAAGGATCCGTAGACCTGCGCTCCACTCTAATCGGCGTAGCATCCGGCGCTGCAGCAACCGACGACGGTAATGCTTCTTGGCTAGCGTCGGGCCCAGCATGGACTGTTCGAGAGGTGCGTTTGGCAGGAGTCCAGCTTTGAAGCCCCAGATGATGAGACTTTGCTGAAGGGAGGGGGCGAACAGTCGTCGAACGGGGTGCAACGGATTCTCGCGCTGTGTGACCGTCGTTGGGAAGTGAAAGTAGTGATATCGTTCAGGGTATGCAGCACGCAGTTTCGCTGTTGCCGGTTCGAGAAATGGTGATTTTGGCAACGTGCTGAACTGGTAACTGCTTCTCGGTGCATACCAGCAAAGAAGCCAGAGTAAAAGTCTTCTAAGCTCCCTAAACCTTCCAACCATGCCAAATCTGCGTACGATCTCGCGCCATTGGAGTGGAGAGATGGGGGCTAGACCGTTCTCTAGGATCATGACGAATACACGCGCGACGAAACGCAAGTCATCGAATCGGTCACTGACAGGCTTGTGTCCTCGTTGCCGACGACGCAATAGGCTGCGAATGGCCATGATTGATTCAGGCGACACCATGATGCCGCGAGCACGCATGTCTTGGAGCACTTCCACGACATGGTTCTGTCCAGAGCGTTTAATGTAGACTTGCAAGAGCAGGTTCCAAGACTCTTGACTAGAGTCATTGTGGAAGAGCGTTAGAATGGCAAGTGTGCGCTGGACCTGCGCATAATCGTCGTTGTCAAGATAGTGCTCGAGCAGCTTGCGTTGCATTTCCACGTCGCCAAAGACGTCCGGATGCTGGTCGCTTTGCAGCATACTGCGCACCAGTTGCCACTTCTGCTCCATTGCGAACGTCTCCAGTGCCAAAGAGAAGACGCAGCCCTGCAGGGCAATGCCTGCTTGCCTGAGCTCTTCGAACCTCATAGGTAGCTCCTCCACCGGTTGTGTTTGCAGTGCCATGGTGAGCACAGCTTGAGGCCCAATCTCGTTGATGCCCACCATAGAGAGACCTTGTATGATCGAAGCAGGTGGAAAGGTACGCGTTGCGAACATGCGGGCGACGAACGAGTCTTCGAATCGGACGGGCGCTGTATCGGGGCCTTCCAAGCGGCGCAGAAGGTTCTCATTGTATTTTGCTGCACCCCGCCTCCACTTCTTCGTCGACCCTTTCGTGTCAAAGTAGACCTCACGAGCTGAATCCTCAACGGTAAACAGCTGGACGAGAGGATGTGACGCGACAGACTCGGACGGCATATCGTTGCGAAGAGTGCAAAGTGCATGCCATCGGCGTGCCGCAGTTATGTCATCCTTCTCAATGAGCGCCGGCACCACCTCGTCGTAGAGGTCCCGCTCATTGCTGTGCTCGTATATCTCCATCAATGCTTCGTATGCGCCGTGCTTGTAAGTGGATCGCCCCTGATGTGCCAGCTGCCGTAGGGGAAGCCGCTGGGGCTTCAGGCTCTTTTGTATCGCGTAGTGATACCTCAACGCGGGCGCTGTTCTCCTCGGGAGCCAGTGGCTCATGACCAGATAGTACAGACCAGGGTATGTCTTACCTGTCTCGTGAAGCAGCTCCTCAGCGTGCTCTATCGCCTTGTCCGCGATCAGGTGGTTCTTCACGAAAGTTCCCCATAGGAATGCGGCATCGGGTGTGTCTTCAGTGGGCAGGCGGTACCCTCGATGGCGGAAGTTCTGCCAGACATTGCGGACACCCTTTTTCCCGTGCAGTCTCTCTTCGCTTGCAAGGATAGCGGCGAGTTGTGCAGGATCGTCTTCCCTTTCCGCTACACGTGCGACGTCGTTTTCAAAGATATCTACGGTCGGGACGAGGGTATCGTTGGACTCGTCACGCTGGAGTGCCTTGAGCACGTGGTCTCGGACTGCCGCGTCTTCGCTTGCATCCTTCATTCGCCTCCATTTCAGCTTGGGTTGCGGTTTCGGCTGGGTGGAGTAGTTGCGGCGGCGTGCTACTGGCGGGCAGCATTTTGTTGCCGCGGAACAGGCTGCGGGGAGTTCGGGGGCATTGACGACGGAGCGAAGGAGTCGCAGGGCTGACGGGCTGGCGAGGAGCCTGTCCAGAGCCGGTGGCATCAACGAGACAGGGGCGGAGGGCGAAATCAGTCCATTGGCGTCGCAATCGTCGTGCGTGAACTGAGCATGCGGAAAGTTGTTGCGCCCAAAGCGGCCAAGGGCCTTGGCGGCCGACTTGCTTTCGCCGGCGGATCATTCGACCTCGCGACATCACCAAACTGACCAATCCACGAAACCACCAATTGCCCCCGCACGCCGCGCAATACTCCTCTACACTCTTCAAAATGCCTGGGTACGTCCATCCTCGAGCTTTGGGCCTGGCCGCAGGCCTGAGGGAGCACCGCGACGGCCTCCAGTGCTCCTCCGCCTTTCCGCACAGAGCTGGATACTGACAGTCGGCAGCTGGGTTATGCGCGAGAACAAGGTGCCTTACTGGCAACGCGAGTTCCAGAAGCACGACGGACTGAGGACCTGGGAGAAGGTGCGTACTGAATACACAAGAGGAGGGTTGATGGGGGCATGATGTGGTTAGAGATGATGCGCATGCGGTGCTGGACACATGGCGTGTGGAAGTGAGAAAACACAGGGATAAATGCTGACAGATTGCTTCTTAGGCCCGTGGAAAGTACCTGGTTCCCGGCTTCAAGGTTATCATGTTCAGCAGCCTCGGCGCCAGCATGTACATGATGGGCCGTCTCGTCCTTGTAAGTTCGCACTGGGTTGAATTGAGTGCAACATCATTACTAACTATATTCAGGGACACAAGACCTGGTTCGGCAAGAACTAGACTCCGCACTTCGAGCATGATATCCAGATGGGTGGGACCAATATGAGTCTTCTGCATCAATATACAATCAACCGACAAGCCTTTACCCATTACAACATCTCCTTTGTCAGACCGCATATAACAATCTTCATTGTCTGTTTACGCTATGTTCACTTATTCTGAAGTAATGCTGCCACCCAGCTGCTACGTGGCTGATAAAACACGAATGGCTGTCACTTGCATCGATGACTAGACTGACTTGTGAGATTACGTCTTTGGGTCGACCTTGCGGATACGTGTGAGGCAGCAGACAATTTAGTTACTCCAACTGCAATGGGGCTTGATGTCGAGCTTCCATGGTCATGGCAGAGTGCCCGTTCCTACCAGTGTCGAGTACGGATACAACCACTTCAGATGACCAGTCTGGCAAACCAATGTCCCCAAGTAGCTAATATCAAAACACCCGACCGAAATTCCACAATAAGCTGCACCAGATCCAGGCGCGAAACCAGAAGGTGCTCTGGGGTAGCTTGCCCAGATGCCCCTCCACATGCGTGCTAGTCGCTGTAAAATGAGGTCAGTGCCTGGAACGTGGAACCGAGCCGAGATCCTCCAAACCACCTCCCGCGCCGCCAAATCTCCACGTACGCTCCTTCGTTGTGACGCATCGACGCAATGGCAGACTTCGTCAAGGGTCTCTTCGGTGGCCAAAAGCCTGTCCAGGCTCCAGTTGTTGGTGATGATGGTACGTACACTACATTGCATGCGCGGTCGCGAGGCCACCAGCCTGGGATGCGGGACCACACGAGACCCCTTTGCGATACTCGAATTCTTGACCGGAGATGGAGTCGCGAGGTTATTTTGAGGATGCCATCAGGAATTGCAGAGCTTATCAATATACATAATCAATGGCTGCGCTGACACCAACCAGACTTCGCCGACTACGCAGGTGCTCCTGAGCCCACACCTGCTGCCATCTCGTCCTTCACGACCGGTACCGGTGCAGCGCAAGCCGCTCCTACAGGCCTCGGCGACAACCGGCCCTATACAGCATGGTACCGGGTGTGGGAGCGCACCACCATGGACGACTTCAAGCTGGAGATGTACATCCTGCCATTCCTCGTTGCTCTCATCGCGGTTCACCTCTGGGGCACCAAGCGCAACCGTAGCAAGGCCAAGGCATGGATGAAGGCTCACGCCCCTGTCCTGACCCAAGAGTTCGCCCAAGTCGGCTACACGCGCCCAGACGGAGAGGGAGCGGTTGCAGATGTGGACAGCATGCTCAAGGAGAAGAAGGCCGACGAGTACCAGACCTACGCGACTGGACGCCAGAACGTTGCCTTCGTTGACTTCAGGCTGAGCTTCTACAAGCGCGCCAACCCCTTCATGTGGCTGGGAGAGAGCGTCCTTCCCCTGTTCTTCGAAAGTTTCCCGGCACCTAGCGAGCGTCTTGAGGCTACCGCTTACGTTTTCGATGGCCGGGAGACCAAGTTCGCTCCTTCGTACGGTCAGGCCGATGCGAAGAAGGTCACCAACAGCTCTTTCGACGGCTTCGTCTTCGCAATTGTACACAAGGATATCATGAAGCGCATGCGCGATGAGCGCTACGACTTGTCTCTGACCAGCACGCGCGACCACGCCAAGTTGCCTGTCTGGGTCACTGTCATGAGCGAGAGCGCCGAGGTTACCGACATGCTGCTCACACCCGAGCTCATCAAGGCCGTGAACGACGCCGGAGACAGCTTCGAGGCCATCATCGTCAGCGACCAGCCCATCAACGCGCCCAGGACGTAAGTTATCCAGCATCCAATCTCTCTATTCTTTCACCCAAGCTAACATTTCCCAGCCTCGACGAGACCAAGCCTAAGAAGCGCCTCAGCCTCTCCCTGAAATTCGCCTCGGACTACTCCACCACCATGCCCATCTTCCAATACTTCCTCCGTCTTACCGACCAGCTTGCCTCTCATGGACACTTCCGCCCCGAAGCCCTCCGCCGCATCAAGCAAACCCGCGACGAGCAAATCGCCAAGATCAAGAAGGCAGATGATGAGGAGAAGGCTGAGGAGAGGAAGCTTTCGCTTGACAAGGCAAAGAAGGAGATGAGAGACGCCAAGTTGGGTCGTCTCAGCGCCGATGAGCAGCGCAAGTTCCTCGAGAAGGAGAGGGAAAAGAACGCGAGGAAGGGCATGAAGAGGAGTACCGTCAAGGCATAGGGGCCCAACAGGAATAGTAGGGTGGGTGAATGAATGGATACAAAAGTATCTCAGGTATTGCTTGGATAACGTGGCACATGGGATGATTGTATTAGTATAGGACTACCACGAACTTTGTGTCGTGGAGGCAAAGAGTAGTAATTCATTAATCGCACGCTACTTTACAGACAGAGAAACAACGCGTCGTCGACTGCCAACAGCATGCCATCTTGCAAACTCAAACAACAATAAAAACAAAACGAAACATCGCTGTGCGTCCAAAAACAAAACTTCTGCAAAACAGTCTTATCACGCTTTGTGTGCCCTCTCACGCCTACGCATACCGTAAGATCCACCAGGAAGCCCACTCTCCGGCGCCTGCGGTATACCGATATGCGTAGTAAACCCAGTCTCGATAGCGGCTGCGGTCATAACAGCAGTAGGGTCTTGATGCACTGGCCTCGGAGTCTCGAGTCCGGCTGCGTCGAGTGAAAATTTATTGGATACGAAGTTATCCATGACGGAATGCGGACAGCGAGTTAGGCCACCATGCACGCCTGTGCATTCGAAATGGACATTGCTAGTCGGCGAGGGAGTCGGCGAGGGAGTCGGCGAGGGGGTCTGGAGTGCGGCTGCTTTGGACTTACTCATACTCGATAGGGCTTCGTCTGTGTAGGATTGCGGACACCAAGTCAGGCCACCGTTCTCGCCCATGCATTCAAGGATGATAGCGTCAGTCGGCGACGGAGTATGCAGTGCGGGTGTGTAGAGTTCGGATTGTTTGGATAGGACGGCGTCCGTGTAGTATTGTGGACAGCGAGTTAGGCCACCATGCTCACCCAGGCATTCCATAAAGACACCGTCAGTCGCCGACGGGGTCTCGAGTGCGGCGGGTGTGGGCTCAGTTGCGGTTCCATGAAGAACCTTTGAGGTGACCCAGTCCGGACAGCTTATCAGCCAACCATCATCGCCCATACATTCCAAAAAGACACGGTAATGAGGCTCCGGAGTCTTGTGTGCGGTTGGAATGGGCTCCGCTGGCGTGTAGTATTGCGGAAAGCGAGTAAGGCTGAAGTCTTGACGCATTGTACCAATCTCGACAAGGCCATCGTCGTTCAACATGGGCTGAACCGGGTCATTGCCATCGTAGTGGTCCGGATAAAGTGCCCACGAGGAACATTCGGGGGTGTCGCATGCACAGTAAACCCGCCCTTTCCCATCCCCGCAGTCGACCAAAAAAGGATGGTAAGTGAGTGGAAACATATATCCCGGTTGGTGGATCAAGAATTTCGCTGGATCGTAGCCGTTTGGACAGCAATAATGAGCGATCTCGTCGTACAGGTAGCCATCGACTGGCTCGTTGGAACCGCTGGCAGTCGCCGAACCGAGTCCAACTTTGGCAACTTCCTTCGCCATCTGTCGGATATGACTCCAGTCCGCGCTGTCTTCACCTAGACTCCACGCCATGACGCCTCCGAGCTTGTATTTGCGGACGATGTTGTCGAATTTCCTTGTGATGAGTTCGGGCGTATCCCATGTCCAGAAAAGGCGGTTTGTGGCATCGAAGTAGTATTGTCCGCCGGCTACTTCGTCAGTAACACCGTATTTGGCTGCGAGCTGCCATGAAGCTGCTACATCGGCGTCCGTACATCCAGTTCCAAACGCGTGTTGGCAGGCGCCGTTGCAGTGTTCAGGCGAAGTACCGCAGTGGCCGTGTTGAGAGCAACAGCCTATCTCACACTTGGTTCCCTTCTCTGGACCGCAGGTGCCGTCTTGGGATACGGTCAGAGAGGAGGCATCAACGGGGCGTATGCGAGATCTCTCAAAGGTCCAGGCGCCAGAGGTGAGTGTGTCTTTGCCTTGGGCATCTTCCGCAAGGACGATGGGGCAGTTGAGGGGGCTGCCACTGCAGTCGCCTTGCGTGGTGAAGTATTTGGCGTAGTATGCGAAGCCGAGGTTGAGCTTGGAGGGGGGTGCGCCCATGGCGAGGTAGTCTTTTATGCTGTTTTCGGCATCGATGGCGGAGCTGTGGTGTTTGGTTACTGTGTCTCGGCGGTTCATTAGGTCGTAGCTCATCACCTGGGAGAGTTAGTATGATCTCTGCAAGGTTGGTGTGAGAGATGATGTCACTTACGTTGATGAAATCGACGGATGGCCAGATCTGAGGTCCGGTTGTTCGAGTGTATCCAAGCATGTCAACTACTACTTGTCAGTTGATTTGCTTCAAACATGTATATGATGACTGGCCTTCTTTTCCTGGGACAGCAATCGAAAGCAGCTTCTTTCCAATAGCGGCACGGATGGCAGCCAGTAACTTAGGGAACGCGGCGATCTGGTAAGTCTGATCCCAGTTCGCCACTTGTTTGTAGTCCGCCCCGTTGCCGCCAGGATATTCCCAATCGATGTCTTCTGTTGTGAGCATCGACAAGTAACCAATGTAGGTAGATGGTGTACTCACCGACTCCATCTGCTCCAGTCCTGGCAAGCATAGTAGCAACATCAGCGGCAAACGCGAGCATCGATGCGTCGGACTTCGTGGCTTGACAGAAACCAACCGTATCGCCCCAGCCGCCAACAGCAATCATGACCTTTGCGTTGGGGAACTCGGTGCGGATGGTGTGTATGGGGACTTTGGGCTGGAACGTAGCTGTTGCGTTGGCTGGGGCAAAGGCGAGGATGACATGGTCGATGCCAGCTCGATCTCGTGGGTTGTCTGGACGCGTTGGGTGCCATTCGTCTGCGTATATGACAAATCGGGCTGTTGCTGATATTGCGAGTATCATCGACGCAAGAAGCGCCGCGGATGGGAAACGCATGCTGGAGCTGGGATGTACTCAACAGCTTGTGAATGGTCGAATAGAAGACTAATAGACAATGGGGTGATGAATGCTACCAAGGTAAGCAATACGTGTTGTCATGGAGAAGATGGAAGCATATCATAGAGATAGGTGTCTCCCAATCTGGCCTGTGGCGTCCATCGTAGCTACCTCAACGTGGTGTTTGTTCTTGCAGACTGTCTGAAATGGAAAGAGCAATGATAGTTGAGAGCTCTTTCTGACAACAACTCTAACAGCGAAACTATTCGTTCTCTCGCTCTTCGATAGAAAATAGAATGGCACGACGGAAAGCACAAAAGCCTAACAAAAGAAGTAGGCGTCGGTTGACTAGAAGGTGTAGTATATTCTGTACTGTGTGGCTCTCAATACAGTCGCCTTCCTAGTTAACCCGACGTGAAGAAGAGGAAGTCTTGCAAAGAAGCGGGGAATTCATCGTAATAGCAACATTCGGTCTGGTGAGCATTGCCATGTGCCGAGTACAACACAAGCTCGCTCGCCGCTTCAGATGCTTGCTGATCTAGAAGGGGAAATGGCGACTGGATAGAGCCTCATGAAGACATGACCTAATGCGCGCTGGAATGAGAAGTCTACAGGCGTCCACGACTATAGTCCAAGCATGAGACTGATCATATAAACAACGATATAGCAGAGATGAGGAGGGTGCAGAGTGTAAGGTTGTGTAGTCGCTCCTACCTATACTGATAGCCGAGATGCAACAAAACAGCGCGATCAGCAGCTACTGGACAATTGGAAGTCGCGGCCAGCCAACGTCGATTTCCGCATAAACATGCAACTCCTACATCGAAGCACGTCGCAAATTCCATCGTCATTGGAATCGGGCCCGTCATCCGGTTTCGCAGAAATCATCGGAAATGCTTCGTCGGGCCATCGACTTCCCGAAGCCAAACCCACGTCGGTTCTATATCCTTGTTACAAGTCGTTAGTGTTGCTATGTATGACAACGTATACACAGGGAAAAGTATAGAGAAAAGCGGATTGCAGAAAAAAGAGTCAGATCTTGCAGGAGCTATTTGGAGGCATGCATAGCAGACTGTCCGAACTATAGCGACCATTCGCTCCTGGGTATAGGCTGCTGACATTCTCAGTGCGAACACCGTACAACAGCTACGTGACATTGACAGACCACACAGTCCTTGTAGCACACCAATCCAATCACTAAACTCTCCACAATCACGAAACCGTCGCTGCGGCAGGTGCTGCATGTCAGACGCGGGCGCACGTCGTGGGGACGATGATGCGGACAGCCGTTGAGAACCACGGTTCACATGCGTCGAGTCCACAAGCGACCGGACAGCTCACCCAGTCCGCGTCAATTTGCAGCACCTGGACCGCGATCGATGAACCGTCTCGCACGTGATAGTCCGGCGGATCCGTGATCGTCGGGCCACGCAGCTGCAGCCATGCTTTTCGGGCTGCAGCAATATGGAGCTCTGACCAATTATGACGCGACGAAAACGCGGTGGCTGGGGAGAGGCTTGGAGCTATCAACAGCTGGCCGCGCGCGACATGGATAGGCTGAGCTGAAAATGCCTCTCTTCACGGAGGAGCTGGCGCATCATGCATGAGCAGGCCGTCCGGCCCCAATTGAAGCATACCACGCAACATTGGGATCGGCCCACTGCCAATGGCCATGGTCGTGGAGCTGCAGCCAGGTCGGGGAAGCTCCCGGCAGCTCTGTGGAGCTCCAATGCGACTCGACTCTGGATTGCGACACCAATTGCTGGCCATTGCCCGGTCAACAGCCGTGCTAAGATCAGTTGCGCGTCCGAAATTACCTCGGTGCGAGAAGCGCCAGGATGTGATGGGTTCTCTGGGGTTGAATCGGTCCATGGCTGGGAAAAAGGGGAAGCTGATACGCGCTAGTGCTCCGTGTCAATAACGCTAGTCCCAGCTTGAACAGCTCTGCCAAAGCTTCCCAGCCTCCACAACCCTGCGACCATCGATACGCCGACACAACAGTGATCCGACTGACCGCCAATCTACTTGATCCCCCTCCTCGGCCAGCCTGACTCCATCACTCCTCCACCTACACCCCGCTACTGCATCCAATTGCGCATCTTCAAGCTGCTGCACGTCAACACCATAAAGCTGGCGACTCTTCAGTAGATCCTATATCTCCAAATATCTCCACGTGAGACCCTCAAAGGAGCCAAGAAGTTCTTCTTGATTCCTTTCGAATTGTTTTCGAACGGTTCGAAGGGTTTTCAGGAACGAACGACCAGACTCCGGCAAACTGGATTTTGAAGCACGAGTATGCTCTCTCACCGCGAGTGTATAAGCAATTATGCTAATCCACCCAGGTTCCGATCCCCTTCAGTGTCTTCCCGTCTGCGTATCGGAACGCGGAAGTTAAGGAATCTACCAGTGTCCAGGTAGAAGAACAGGAAGCACAGTTCGAGCAACAGGCTTCTCACGGACGGGAAGGTCACGAAGAGGTCCACGAATCCTTCTCCGCTACCGTCCTCCCTCCTCCTCCGGCTCCCCAACAGCAGCAGCAGTTTGAGCAGCAACACCACGACACCCACGTCAAGGAAGAGGTTCGCATCTACGAAGAAGAGCGCCTCCGTCGTCCCCAGCCTCCCCAGCAGCAGCAGCAGTTTCAGCAGGCTCCCCAGCCCCAGCAGTTTCACGCTCAGCAGCCTCCCCAGCACCGTGAGGAGCTACATATCCACGAGCAGACTCGCTACAGACAGCCCGGACAGCCCCAGCAGCCCCAGCCCCAGCCTCATTCTCAGCACGTTCAGCGTACTGACCGCGTAGAGTTTGAGCGATCCCACGACCGGTAAGTCCGATCCATTGTTTTGCCAGCGCATCTTCGCACGGATCAGCACAACAGACCAACCCCCTGACTTTAGCGGCACCCAGCCACGCGCTAGCCGCTAACCCCTTTCATCTGTTGTTGTCCTAGCGACATGCAGGCCCCACTTTTCCCTCACCTCCTCTAAGCTCTTCCTTGCCCAACCCAAAGCTGACCTTCCTTTCTTCCTTCAGCTACCAACCTCACCCCCAACCTCCTACATCATCCCACTCCCACGTCGAGGTTCAGGACAGGACCTACGATAGACACTTCAATACAGTCCACGGCCCTGCCACCGACTACGCTCCATCCCAAATCGACGTTACTGAACGTCAGATTCGCGAACGTACCCGTCCCATCGTCGCCGGTGCAAGCTACTCGAAGGAGACTTACACCACCAAGCACGACACCTTCCCCAGCAGCAAGCACGTCGAGTCTGTTGCCTCCCACCAGCCATCTGAGGTCCGAGTAGAATCATCTGCTCGTTCCACTGCCGCACCCCCCAAGCACCGCAAGCGTGATATGGGATATTACGACAACGAGGGCCAATACCACTCGCTTCGTCAAGGAATCTCCCACGCCGCTCACAAGGTCGCCGACCGTATCCAACACCCCATCCACCCTCACCGTCACCACCACTCTCACGAGCACTCCTACCCCGGTGCCAAGTACGACGACGACCGTGAAGAGGTAATCGTTAAGGAGAAGTACACTTCGGCTACTCCTTCTGTTGCCCCTGCCCGCCCCGTCCAATCCGGAGCTCCAGTTGAAAGGGTCGTTCGCGTCCACAGCTCCCCAGCCCCAGCCCCTCCCAGGTCCACAGTCTCTGCTGCTGCACCTGCCCACTCCCACTCCATCACCCACGCACCCGCACCCGTCTCTGCTTCTATCGCACCTGTCCCGACTTCTGTCCGTACAGTCCGCAAGATGGCTTCCACCAAGACTATCACCATCCCCTGCCACCACATCCGCATTGGCGATCTCCTGATCCTCCAGGGCCGCCCTTGCCAGGTCATCCGCATCACCACCTCCTCCCAGACTGGCCAGCACCGTTACCTCGGTGTTGACCTGTTCACCAAGCAGCTCCATGAGGAGTCCTCCTTCATCTCCAACCCGGCTCCTTCCGTCGTTGTCCAGAACATGCTCGGACCTGTCTTCAAGCAGTACCGTGTTCTTGACATCCGTGAGGACGGTCGCGTTGTTGCCATGACCGAGTCTGGCGATGTCAAGCAGGGTCTTCCCGTCCTTGACCAGAGCGGTCTCATCTCCCGCCTGACCGAGTCCTTCGACAACGGCCGTGGCAGCGTCCGTATCCTCGTCATTGATGACGATGGTATGGAGATGGCTGTCGACTACAAGGTTGTCCACGGATCCAGGTTGTAGAAACATCTCGTCAATGGTAAGCCATCATCACCATCACTCACTGTCATCGCGCATCATCTAACATTGCTCAGGTCTCATTCAAACGTTCGATCTTCAATCATCCCTTAGGCGTTTGCTTGCTCATGGCCCCTCATCTTATACTTGTGTTCATAACTTTTGCATCGTCACTTGACGGGTAGCATGGCGCTCTCAGGCATCGATCGGTGTCTATCGCTCTCGGTGTTTGGGTTGGTGTTCATGTCTGCTTGTTCGGGTGGTGGAAATATCGGAGCTACATCTGTGGATAGTTAATGAATTGCGTCTCCTTTAACACTCTACCCATGCATCGTGATGTCTGTCTGTTTGTCTTATGTTGTTGTGATTGCTCCTTCTGAACTCTATCGTCATGCCCTAGTGTTGTCTATCGCCCTAGCTATCCGAGGCTACCCCGCGTTCTCCACGCGCTCCTCCACTTGTGTACCTTATCACCAGCAGTTATACCCGGCCCACACGACATGCGAACAACGCACGTATCTTGCGTTCCTCCGCGATGTAGTTCACCACATGAAACATCTGACACCTACTCGCCATGCCTCACTCAGACCACTCCCCATCCCCACCACGCGATCACTTTCCCGATCTTCCAGTCTTCCCCGACAACGTACCCACCGCGCCACTTCTCCGCATCTCGCTTCAAAAGCTACTCGACCACGACGAAGAAGAACAAAACAGGTGTTGGCAAGCATGTCGCGAGTTGGGTTTCTTCTATCTTGACGTACGCAACTCCAATACACATTCA